TTTGTATTTGAATTCCTTTTGTATCTGTCTGTTCAGATCTCGAATCCTGGTCAAAAGTAAGCACGAAATATCGAACAATATTGGCGAATCAGCATCAACAATACCTATGAAATACCACATTTAGAAGCCCATTTACTCCGAAATTTAGACAAAAATGGAATTGTTATGTTGGGATCTTGGGTCGAGACAGGTGATATTTTAGTAGGTAAATTAACGCCTCAAATCGCGAAAGAATCATCGTATGCCCCCAAAAGGGTCATTAGTACTTTCTCTTTTTCTTGAATCGCACTAGAGGTGCGTCCTTCCCGGTCCTCTCGTACTAGGGAAAGGTCCTCTCAATGCTCTAACGCCCACACCGGATATGGACCGAACTGTCTCACGACGTTCTGAACCCAGCTCATGTACCACTTTAATGGGCGAACAGCCCAACCCTTGTAACATACTACAGCCCTAGGTGGCGAAGAGCCGACATCGAGGTGCCAAACCTTCCCGTCGATATTTTAATGTGTTCTTCGTCATTAATATGTTTGCTCGCGCTAATTGTGGTCGTTCGGGAGAATCGATGACTTCATCTTTGATGCACTTGCTAGTAATAGTACATCTGAAAATTCTGAATTGGCTAGTTGTAAGTAGCCCCACGCGAAGGACTTTCTTTAACATAATATATCATTTCTTGCTATGGGGCCCGAAAAGGGGTTGTGGATACGGCTGTACGAACATCAGATGCTGGATATCTTACGCGCAGGCTTGTTGAAGTCGTTCAACACAAAATCATCACGCAGTAAGTCAACAAAGCCCAAAGTGATATCTCTTTCCCCTTCAAGTTTACCTACTACGGTACCTGAGTGAATATGATCTCCACCAGGCATACGTAACGCTTTAGCTAGTACAAGAAAGTGTATACCGTTTATATAGTCTTTGGGAAATAGACGAAGTTCTTGGAATCAAAGAAAGAATCTATTTTTCGTCGGTAAAAAATTCTTCCAACAATTCCGACCCCAACCTTTTCAAAAAAATCCATACACCAAAATAAAAGAAGGATCAAGAACTCATCAAGCTTATGGACGTCAAAAAAATATGGGAATTTCTCATAAGTAATTAAAAAAATTGAGCGTGAGAGGCAAATGAATCAAAAGATTCATGTTTGGTTTGCTTATTAATATTAATAAGAGGGGAACCCTATGGAAGAAAAGAGGAAAATCCCTTCGCCCTACGGGCTCATATATTCTAAACCTTCGCCCTTCGGTTCCGGGAGAGGGGCGAACCTCCAATATGGGGGTAGGTTCCATAGCCCCAAGACTTCAACAGTGTTCAGGTTCATTATCGACGAATCCAATTTTCTAGGGAAGGTTTCCTGCAAAATAGCTATGCATGCTCATCTCCTTTGTTTATACTCCACTGAACTGCGTGTACCTTGTATAGTGAGAGTGAGACGCCCTTAGGGTAAGGTGGAACGGGATGCTTTATTCCTTCTCACATTTGATGGGAAGAATATATGCAACATATGATGGGGATAAAGAGAATTGCTTTGAAGAAATTGATAATAGAATTATTGAAATTAGCGAAGAATGCAAATTATGGCCTACTCGCGTAGAGCCTGGTGATCTAGAATGCGATTTAAAGTTGGTGGTGAAATGGTAGACACGCGAGACTCAAAATCTCGTGCTAAAGAGAGTGGAGGTTCGAGTCCTCTTCAAGGCATAAGTACGAGAGGACTGGGAAGGATGCACCTCTGGTGTACCAGTTATCGTGCCCACGGTAAACGCTGGGTAGCCAAGTGCGGAGCGGATATCTGCTACAGAAAAGGGTTGTGATAAGAAACGCTCAATTTTTCGTGCTCTTGCTACAGTTAAGCGATCTTCTTCGGTCTCTAACCGAAGCGTAGAAAAGCAAACCCATCTTTTACTAAAAGGAAGGTCTTGGTTCTTTCTTATACCCGGAAGTTGGATCTATGTTGAAAACATGAGCAAGGAGCCCTTAGATGTACATAGAGGATCTCTAACAGCTAGCGCAGGATGCTTACTACGTGAGAGTTTCCCTTCATACGGCTCGAATCATTCTCAGATGCCGGAGAGGCATTTACCAGGAGTCGGCTATTCCAGAATCAGCAAATGAAAGAAGCCCGCCAGACGTTATTCTTATTGGCCAATTTCGTCCCAAAGAGACCTTCCCAACCAACCATCCCCTAGCTTGAAGGAGGATTGATGAACCACCTGGGGGAACCATCCCTCTCCCTTCGCCCTTCTCCCTGTGTCGTTTACGATACATAAAATATTCGGCCAGAGCTGCTCCTGTATAAGGAGCAAGGTATTGTAATGTAGCCGGAGAATCCGCCGTTTCGGCTACTACAATAGTGTACTCCATTGCCCCTCTTTCCTGTAAAGAGGTAACTACCTGAGCCACGGAAGATGCTTTTTGACCAATAGCTACGTAAACACATATTACATTTTGTCCTTGTTGATTTAGAATTGTATCTGTGGCCACCGCTGTTTTACCGGTCTCCTATCCTTGGGATCTGATTCTACACCGCTGCCGAATACTTTAGGGGATCGCCTCTGTTACATAAGTTGATTCCTAATTTTTGTCTCATATTATGACATAAGTAAGCAGTTCTTATTATATCGACCAAAAATCTCACTAATTGATATTTACGGTGCTTCCTTTATCAATAGACCCTTTATCCATAGACTAAAATATCTAGGCATTTTTTTCTTCATATTTCGACTTCTATGAAGTTTCTTTCCGTTCCAGTGCCATTTGAGTGAGGAATGAAGTTGCTCGAGTGAAAGGTACGAACCCGAGGAAAGGCTGCACAGCAGTAGTAAGGGCGTTAAAACCGGAGCTTTTTGTAGTGCTGGCAGGAATGCAAGTGAATGAATCCCATCTCCTACCGATATCGTAATAAAAGCTAGACTGCATAATTGGCTTGTAGGAGATAGATAAGAAGGATTGACGCCACTAAACTCAAATCCTGACTACGCTACTGTATATAGCGTGTTTCTATATATAAACATTCAAACTAATCACATTTTTGCCCGAACTGGAATATCGCGAGAATTTAATTCACGAATTTTATTTGTTAACCCTGTTATTCTGCCAAAAAAAATCCTCTTATTATATCGTTCTCACCCGTCCTTTTCACGAGATTTCCAACTACGTAAAACTAATTATTATTAGAGACAAATTAACTGATATCTTCGAACACTAAACACAACTAGAAAAGCTTGACTGAGGTCTTCGTGTTCTTCTGCTGCTGTTGTATCATCTGATTGCTATGGCTACATCTTCTTCTTCATATTGTAATCCAAGCCAATGCAGCCATTGTGCACATCTGCTTCACACCCTCCCTCAAGCTGGCAAGTACAGATCATGTACTGTCAGTTTGGACAATAAGTAGTTGAATAGTTCTGCAGATAACCCTTTTGTAAACAGGTCAACGAGTTGGTCTTCAGTACCAACATGAGATAGTTTGAGTAAGCTTGCCTTCAGTCTCTCACGAACAACATAACAATCAACCTCAATATATTTTGGTCGTTCGTGAGAGACAGGGTTTTCTACTATGTGAATAGCAGATTGATTGTCACAGAATATTTGTATAGGTTGTGGATGATTGATCCCATAGAAGAGTAGTAATGCTTTAAGCCATTGTACCTCACATGAGAGCTGTGCCAAGGATCTGTATTCTGCCTCTGAAGAGGATCTAGAAACTGTATTATCTTTTTACTCTTCCATATAATTAATGAATCTCCAAGGAATGTGCAGTATCCCTTGATTTTAAGGTTTGAGCTTGCAAAAAACCATAACCCCTGACTTGGATTGCCCTTCAAGTATCTAAGGATTCTTTGCAGTCCCTTTAAATGTGTTGAAGTAGGGTTAGCTTGAAATTGACATAGCTGTTGAACTGGGAATGAAATGTCTGGTCTGGTAGTGGTTACAAACCACTGTCTGAAACCTGCTGTTGAAGTAGGTTTAGCTTAAAATTGACATAGCTGTTGAACTGGGAATGAAATGTCTGGTCTGGTAGTGGTTACAAACCAATGTCTGACTGTTTGAAACCTGCTGACTTCAAGTGTTCAGGCAGTTTGATGAACCACTGTCTACTTGCCTGCTTTAATCCATACAAGGATTTTTCCAGTTTACAAACCTTCCCCTTCATGTGACTTAGCTCTCTCAAACCTTCAGGTAATTCCATGTAAAACTCCTTCTCTAAGTCACCATGGAGTAATGCATTACTGACATCCATCTGGTGAAGATGCCAATTCTTGCCAGCTGCTACTACTAAAAGCAATTTAACTGAGTTTAACTTTGCCACCGGTGAGAATGTGTCCACAACGTCGACTCCATAGGTCTGTGTATAAACCTTAGCTACCAACCTAGCTTTCCTTTTATCAATATTCCCATCTGATGTGAATTTGGTTTTGAACAACCGTTTGTTGCCTATTATCTTCTTGCCAGGGTGTCTGTCCACTACTTTCCAGGTGCCATTGTCAAATAAGGCCTTCAACTCCTCCTATACAGCTTGATTCCAGCAATCTACTAGGACAGCCTGAGAGTAGATATGAGGATCAGAGGTGGGAGAAATGGACATGATGTAATGAAGGTGAGAGGGAGACAAGTGGGAGTAATCTAGGTGGTTGGAAAGGGGTATAAGAGTTTAGAATCATGACTGCCAAAAGAAGAATGAGTCATGAATGAGGTATGATAGTCTTGTAAACGAATAGGTTGTCTGGGAATCCTGATAGATCTCCTCAGAATGTGGGCAAGGGTGGTTGGACCTGATGAGGAAGTAGGTGATGAAGTAGATGGGATTGGAGAAGCAGCTGGAATAGCTGCTGGTGTAGGTGTAGAAGAATGACCAGGGGAAGAACTGGGTGTGGAAACAAGTGTGGTATCAAGGTCTGAATCAGAGGGTTAATAATCAGAATCATTTGTTTCATCTATGTTATGATCCTGAGGGAAAAGGTCAGGAAGCGGTTGAAGGGGATCGATAGGAATAGGAGGGGAAGAAGAGTTGGTTGTGTTGCCACTCTTAGGCTGTTGAAAAGGAAATGAAGTTTCATTGAACTCCACATCTCTGCTGACAAAAACATCATGAGTGGCCAAATCATATAGTTTGAACCCTTTAACTCCAAATCTGTATCCCTGAATCACACATTTCCTAGCCCTGGAGTTAAATTTCCGTTTGTGTTCTTCAAGCACAGTAGCATATGCTAAACAACCAAACACTTTTAAATCTTCATAGTCAAGAGGAATCCCGTACAAACATTCAAAGGGTGTTTTGTTATTCAAGAGTGGTGTTGGTGTCCTGTTGATTAGATATGCAGCATGCATAACCATATGACTCCAGAAACTGACAGGTGCTCCAGATTGCAGTTTTAAAGCTCTTGCAGCATTCAGCAAATGCTGATGTTTGCGTGATACCCTTCCATTTTGCTGTGCTATTTTTACACAGGACATCTCATGCACAATCCCATGTTTATGATAAAAGGCAGGTATGTTGAATTCTTGCCCTTGATCAGACCTGATGGTCTTAATTCTTTTACCAAATTGAATATCAATCATGGCATGAAAACTCTTTAACAAATCTCTGGCTTCAGATTTGTTTTTCATAAGGTATAACTAAGTAGTTCGACTACAATCGTCAAGAACAGTAAAGAAATACTTATCCATCATGGGAAACCACATCTACTGGCCCCTAGATATCAAAATGAACAATATCAATTGTTTCTCTAACTATAGATGTGCTTCTAGAAAAGGGCAGCCTCTTTTGTTTAGCTGGATGACAGATATCACAATTCAAAAATTCTGGAATAATAACTTCACCATATTTTTTCTTAATCTCCTGTAGTTTAGGAAGAGACAAATGTCCTAATCTGGCATGCCATAGCTCTGAGCTTTTAGTGGTGGTCACTCCAAGAACTGTGGGTTTGCAAATCTCTCAGGGGATATCAATCCTTCAAGAAAATATAGCCCTCTATTTACGTGGATTAAACCAATCTTCTGTCGAAAGATTAGGTCCTGGATGCAACAAAAATTAGATTCAAATAGAAGTGAGATGGGGCTGTTCTATGTGAGCTTGCTGTTAGAAATGAGATTGTTTAAAGGTTGGAACTAATAGGACATTTGTGAGAAACAGACCACAAGGAAACTTAACTATGCCAATGTGTGTGACTACAACTACTTGGCCATTAGGTAAAGTAACTGACAGATTCTTAACCTATTTGAATTTAAGAAAGAATGTCATTGAACAAATGATGTGATCACTGGCTCCTGTGTCCAGGATCCATAAATTTCCATTACTGGACTTAGAGTTTGTGGATAACACAGTAATACTTGTCATAGCAGTGTTACTGGTCACAATGGAGTTGACACAAGAATGAGCATGTTGTTGGGGAGCTTGCACCAACTTCTAAGACGATTGAGTTCCTCTGATGTGAACCATGAGAACACAGATTGGTTGTCAGAACCGCTTCCAGGGCTTGTAGGTGAGTAAGTTGGATTTCCTCCTCCTCCTCCTGGAGGATTCTTGTCCCCAGTATTAACATAAATAGAACCAGCAAAGTTTCTTCCTCCTCCTTCTTTGTTTTTCCTTTTAAGTTTCTAGCAGCCTTGGATAACCTGGTTATCCTTCTGGCAATAACGGCAGAATAAGCGAGTGTCCTGAGGGGCTTCTTTTTGCTGCTTATCTCTCCCTTGCACTGAGAGATACTTAGATGCAGCAAGTGATGTAGCCAAAGCAATGGCGTCTTCTGACTTTCCAGTATTTCCATTGGTTCCATTGAGTTGTCTTTCCAACTGTACCAGTGATCTGCAGATACTATCTAGGTCAGGCAAGGGATCTAGCATAAGCTTTTGTGTTTTCACTTGCTGGTACGTCTCATTCAAACCCAGCAAGAACTTAATCCCTTTAGCTCGATCTCGATACATCATCACTGTTTCATAGGTTTTAGATGCACAATCACAATAGGGTATGAGAAGGTAGCTTTCTTGCTCATCCCACAAGACCTTCAAATTAGTATGGTACTGTCTAACAGTTAGGGTTCCTTGTTTGGTAAGGTCAATCTTATCATGCAAATTAGCAATTTGTAAAGAATCGCCCTGACTAAACTTCGATTTTAGGTAAGTCCAAGGTTTTGAGGAAACCCTAATGTTCCTCAGACTGGGCACGATGTCCTCAGAAACATAATTTCTAATCCAGCATACAACGGTTCCATTCACTCTATCCCAAGTGGCATACTTAGGCCAAGGTATATGAATCGTTCCAGAATTTCTAACACGAGGTATATGAATCTTCCAAGAACAAAGCCCAACTTGTTTTTGGTGCGCAAAGCAACTTCCATGGACTCACTTCAAAGCAAATAATTGGCATCGTTGAGTTTGAAGCCCATGACGAGAAGAAATGAGTTGTCACTGTGTGCTAAGTAGTAGGGATTGTTGTAGGGATCTTCGTAATGTTGCAGGGCAACATCCTTTCCCTTATCTTGTGCTCCAGGTTAAGAT